TAACAAAGAGGATGATGTGTGGTTTGTATAAGGTTGGAGAAACATAGTAAGGAGAGCAGGGATATATCAATGAAAGAAGAAGAGGTTATTTTGGAGAAAAAAAAAAGCAATGTTTTCTGAACAACACACACTCAAAAGCAAGCCAAAATGACTTTTTCATATCCTGCGGTTGGAATACAAGTTTTTGTGGGTCCCAACAATTAAAATGCATGGTTTGTAGCTAATCAATACATCAAAACTATGGCACGCATCTAAATGTAGAAGCTACCACGTAAAAAAATATTGTTTAAATATTAAATGATATTTTTTTAAAAAAATTTCAGTCATACAAAAATATTGAAAAAAATAGCAATTCAAAGAATGAGGATCAAAATCACCATTACCCTTGCCTATGGGCTATTATGAAATTTTTATAGGTGGCATAAATTTTAAAAAGGCCTCCCACATATCTCCTAAAAGGCACATGGCCACCTACACGCTCCAACAGTTTTTTTTTTAAATAATATCAAATATATATTAATTATAATAATACCTCTAAGAAACCTCAAAACCTACAAGGAAACCAATATTAAATAACCAAAATACATTTATTAGAAAGTTATATTTTTTTTAAAGTAATTTAACTATTCTACAAAAATGAAAGGACAAGAACATCCCTAAGGAAAAAGCATAAAATTTTTGTTTTGCAAGGTCAAAATAGTAATTTTATTCTGCAAAAGAGAATGGAATGACAAATATAACCCCATAAAATATGCTAAAGACAATTACATCATGATGAAAAGATAATCTTACCCCCGAAGCAATCTTTAGTGTTTTTGATGATAATAATAAAAATAAAAGTGAGTTGATAATGAATTTATAAAACTAAGTTGATAATGAATTTATAAAACTATGTGTTAAAACTTGTTGAAGCATGAATCATGGCTTTTATATTTTAAAAGTACTTTAAAAAAATTAAAATTTGTTCTTTAAAAGAGTTTGTTTGCTTTTATATTTTAAAAATACTTTAAAAAAATTAAAATTTGTTCTTTACTTTAAATTAATTTCTTTTTGGTTTTTATAGATTATTTTAATGTACTAATATCAAAAATACTTTAAAAAATAATTGTTAGCACAATATTAAACAATGTGATACCATTTATTTTTGCGATGCAAAAGCAATTTTAAAAAAAATAATTTTTTTTATTTTAAATTAATTTTTTTAAATAATTTTGATATATTGATGTTAATTTTTTTAAAAATAAAAAAATATTATTTTAATATATTTAATTTCTAACACAAGGTAAAATGAGTTTTATGTAAATAACATAAGAATGCAGTGGAAAACTTAATTTTTTTTTAATTTAATTGTTAATAACATTAAATTGTTTTGATATATTAATGTTAATAATAAAATTTTAAAAATAAAAAAATATCATTTTAATATATTTAATTATTAACCCAAGATAAAACGTGTTTTATACGAATAATATAAAAAAATAGTAAAAAACTTAGAGAGTGTTTATGAGTGTGATAATAATTATTTTTAAAGTATTTTAAGTTAAAAAATATATAAAAATAATATTTTTTATTTTTAAAAAATTATTTTTAATATTAATACATTCAAAATATCAAAAAAATATTAATTTAAAATAAATTTTTTATTTTTTAAATACTTTTCAAATACAAAATCAAACCATCATTTAACAAATCACAGCCATTGCCATCAGCAAAAGCGGTGAGTTTTTAGGCTCTATCTCTCCCCCTTCGCTCTACAACACTTCGTCAAAAATTCCTCTCTCACAAATCGGCAGACGAACGAAACCTGTAACCCTCTGTCTCTCCCTCTAATTTTACGCTCTGTTTGGTTACCGAGAAATTGCAAGAAAAGAAAAGATCCGGTACTCTTTATTCTCTCTTTTCTCAGCAACCAAACACTTTCGTAAAGGGATTGTGCACGATTATCTCAATTAATAATTACTCTAATTTGAATCATATTTTTTTTTTTTAAATTTCCTATCTTTATCTTATTGGGTTTGCAGAGATTTGAAGGAAATTGGTGTCTGTGTGGCCTAGTTGACGATGGAGGCTATGGATACCACGACAAATACACAATCATCTACGCCTCGATGGAAACAGATGGGTGAGGAAGAGAAGACGGCAGCAGTTCATGAAGAAATGAAGAGAATCAATCAACTCCCTGCAACCAGCACTTATGCTACTCATCGTTTGCGTGTTCTCAATAAGATCCTGCAACTTATGTCCCTTAAGGTATCCGAATTATTTACCAGCAAAAGTTGTGGGCTTAAATGAGATGCTAATTTGACAGGCAAATTTGAAAATCTTTCGTTTTTTAATTTTGTTAGAGGACTGTATCACAAGATGAGGAATTGGAGTTACTTTTTGCTGGGTTGCATCTGTGATTGATTTCCCAGTGCTTTGGTAAGCTACCCTTGAAAATTGTGTTATAGAATTTTGTTTTGTTTGTAATTGCTTATGTTTTGAGTTGATGAACTGGCTGGGTGGTATGGTGGATGGAAGGTTGAATTTTGCTGAAAATTTGACATGATTCTGTTATTCCAGTTTTGCATATTAGCTTGATAGTTAGATTGTTGAACTCAACTAACTTCTTTGCGTCTGTGTTTTGGAGCCAGTTCAGTTAAAGATTTTGTCATAGCCCATTCTAAATGCTTGATATTTCATAACCCAATGCTCAAGGCATTAAGATAATTCTCTTTCTGTGTTTTAAGATTGCATTACCACATCACATGTCAGGAGAGTCTCTGAACTTTAGTAAGCCTTTTAAATTTCAAGGTGCGTTCACTTCTTTGTTTTTTGCTCAATCTCCAATGGTTCTTCTTTTCCTTTTGCACGTCAAAGATGCTTAGGATGTGAAGGTTTCTAATTACCAATGGCTGCCTTGCTTGTTCATTCATGCACATTTCATAAATAATTCATTTGCATACCACCCTCATCGTTGCTGATAAATTTGATTTTGCAGGTTGGCAAACATCATCACAGAATGTTAATCTCCACTGTATCTCTAAGGTGTGACAGATATGGTTCGACCTTTGTATGTGGTGTGGGAAGGATACCAGTAGGCCGAAATCTAGTTCTTGTATCTTCTGAAGCTGTTTACAGGGAAGTGCTCTGTATCTTTTGTTTGATGAGGGTCCTTCTTGCCTATTTTGTTTTTCAACTATCTGTGGCAAGGGGATAGCTACCAGCATCTAGTGATATATGAGTCCTTCTCTCGTAAACTTTGCTTTAGCTTTCATTCTCTCTTGGGAGTTCAGTTTCAGTTTTATGTTGCGCCAAGATAACTGATTTTGTTTGGGAATGGATACCTATCAGAACTTCACTTTGAGCATAAAAGTAAATCACCTACCTCCCGTGCGGACTTGTGGTTAATGCTCGCTGCTTAACGAGCCAGTCTAAACTGAACCAATGGCTGTTCATCCAAATGAACCAGGCCCATAAACGTAATAGTCGTTGGGCAGGTCGCTGGCTTTTATTCTGTAGTAGCTGGGCGTGGAAATGGCTCATAAGGCATGGCAAAAATGGAAGCAGGGAGAGATGGAATTAGGGATCGGGATGGGGATGGCAATGAATATCATGAGTAGGGTTTTTTTAATATCCATATCTAAACCAGAACCTGAACCTAAATTTATTACCCGGATCCAATTAAAACCGTATCAAGTATAAATCAAACTTGACCCGATCAGGTAATTTTCTGCAGAAAATATTCGAATGATCATTAAATAAAATCAAGTGAAGATTACCCTATGACTTGAAATTTGGAAAGAAATTGAGCATAAAATGTGCAAAAGCAAAGCGACTAGGCAAATATTAAAAAGTACTTAAGGAATTGATTGACTAGAATGAATCAAACCAAGCATATTAAGAGGTGTATATATATCTGAATAATAAAACATAGCATTAATATTTATGCAAATGTTTCTAGCTAGGCATGATTAAATTGAAGAAATGAGGTTAATTACCTTGTTTGAGCAAGACAAGTAGCTCTCGCCTCATCCACCATTTGGAGATTATATCCTCTCTACACATTGCTAGCTGGAGATCAGAGAATAGAGCAAGAGGGAGAAAGCAAGAGAAGGGAAGTCTGATGGCTGGAGAGGGGATGCCCTACTTTTTCACACACACACACACACACACACACACGTATATATATATATATATATCTCTGGGTACAACTGTAATTTTCTTAAATCTTTAGGTTTTGAGGACAGTTCGGGCAGGGTTTAGGATTTCGGTCGGACAATATAATATTTATATCCTATCTGAACTTGGCTTTTATCTTCAGATATTTCACGAATCTGGGAAAAAATATGATGTTATATAAAATTGTTCTTAATTACTATATCTTTCACATTCTGTCGGTCGTCATTCCAACATGGAATCATAAATAATATCTCATCTTTGTTTAAAGGAAAAAAATGGGAATTCATTGACTTATTGAAATGCTTTGCTTTTTTGCCTGAGCCTTTGTCGGCAATCCTCGTACTGGAAATTTATAAACCTGGTTGTCGTGTGAGTAGAAGCGTCCTGCAATGTTCATTAATATCATCATTGTCAAAAGAAAGAAAAGAAGAAGAATATAATATTTAATGTAAGACTAAAGAGCAGTTAATCTTTCTTACTTTTCCTTACGAAGGCAAACCTCTTACACTCTTAAGGAAGAAGACAAGAACAGTTTTACTTGGTGCCCGGTTGTTCACGTTTCGTAAATTAACCTCTTTTTTACCCTCTCTCGCTTTCACCAAAATTAATTATTTATTAATTCGTCACCGATGCTTTTCGTGTTGTGAATATTTTTTTCTGATGATCCCATTCGAGAGGATAACGTGGGAAGGATTAGGTTGTTTTTGTTTTTGCACCTACAAAATCATCCAGAAAAAGCTATTCAATCTGGATTATTTGTAATTGGGCCGAATTGCAGTAAAGAAACAAAATCGAGGACCATAATTGGTAAGAACTTAATTTAAAATATGAAGCTGACATAAATTACGAGAACTCTTCACGAGAACTCTTAACGAAAACGTAATCTCAAAGGCGGCGGTCTGTCGACAATAAATGCTAGTTTCTTACCAGCATCTTCCCAAGATAAAAGCTCGCGTGGGACGCGTTTAAGGTGAAGATTCTAGCAACTGGCTTTGCCTGTTCCTTTCTTGGCCTCAACATCTTTTAAGAAGAAAACCACACCAAACCCAGCTGGCCAGCTAGAGCTAGGAGGTATGCTATGCTGTCTTCATTTCGTTCTCCTATTTATTTGTTTTATTTTCTGCTGTCTGTTGAAGTTACGGTAAACTACACATGCTTTTGTTTTTCATTCCTTTTGTATGTTTATTTATAGGTTGGCATGTTGCCTCTTTGTATCATCAACTTCTGGGTGGTGATTCTTACGCGCAGTTTCTTTATAACGGCATACCCCTTGTAAGCTCAGCGACAACAGCACATTACACCACTGCTTTGAAGTGTGCCGTTATATATATATGGGTGGTGTGGCAAAATCAACACCCTCTACTTCTTTATAAATTAGTTGCTCAAAAAAGAAAATCTAATTTGAATTTATTAATCCAGTTTAACTTACTTTCTTCTCAAATGAATTTTGTTTGTGTATTTAGGAATCAACTTGAAAAGAGGTAAAACATGGTTAGACCGAATGATCCCTTCTGGGATTATGTGGAGAAGATGACTGGTGGTCTTTTGAAGTGCATGTTTTGTGAGTATATATTTGCTTCTGCTACTTCAATTTCGAGGATCAAATCGCATTTCGCTGGAGTCAAAGGGCGTGGCATTAATGTTTGTGCTAAAGTGCCTAAAGAGATCCAAGAAGCAGCCTTCCCAGCTATTTATGGCACAAAAAAGAAACGTAAAACCATGCCAAGTTCAAGCAATAATGGGGAGGCTAATATGATTTCAACTTCCTCTCAAGAAGAGAAGAAAGAATTTGAAACTCTTGCGAGAGATGTAGAAGAGATGCTAATGGAGGTTGAAAGCACCGATAAAATAGAGAACAAGAGTGCTGGAGAATTGGTCCAGCTTGTTAAAATGGGCAGCTCTCTTGAAGGGAATATTGTTGATGCACATGAGACTAGTGGAAATGCATTTCCAAGAACGGACCTAGTTGGTCAATCAATTGAAAAAAATTGGCGTGAGATATATGGTTTGTCAACGGAGAACGATGATTTGAATTGTGGCAGAGAGAGCATGGCTGTAGATTTGATTCCAGAAGGGGTACACGAGACAAGAGGAGACGGAGCAAGTGGGTCAAGCGTTTGAAAGAAATACGGATGATTTTTGGTGTCTGTTAAATAAGGAGCAGGTTTTAACTATTGGTGTTTGTGGTGAGGGGGGCATGGGCAAAACAACACTGGTGACGCATATCCATAATTTGCTTCTAAAAAGACCAAACTATTTTCGTCATGTTTATTGGATTACCGTAACACAAGATTTTAGCGTTTATAAGTTACAGAATCTGATTGCCGAGAGCATTGATTTGGATCTTTCAAATGAAGATGATGAGAAGAGAAGGGCTGTAAAACTTTCAAAAGCATTCGTTTCAAAACAAACATCTTTACTGATTTTAGATAATTTGTGGTACCATTTTGACGCAGTGAAGGTGGGAATTCCTATTGGAGAGAGAGAATGCAAGTTGATTTTTACAACTCGATCATCAGATGTTTGTAAATGGATGGGCTGCCTAGAGAACGTGGTCAAGTTGGAGCCTCTTTCTAAGGATGAGGCTTGGAGTTTGTTTGCCAAGGAACTAGGGAATTATGACATCAATGTGGAACCTTTGGCAAAACTTCTTGCGAGTGAATGTGCTGGTTTGCCCCTTGGGATTAAAACTTTGGCGAGAAGCATGAGGGGAGTGGAAGATGCTTATGTATGGAGGAAAGTACAAGAGAAATGGGAAGAATCAAAACTTGGACAAAGTAGCATGGAACTTGAGGTGTTCAGGATGTTGAAATTTAGTTATATACACTTGAATGATTCATCATTGCAACAATGTCTCTTACATTGTGCGTTATTTCCAGAGGATTCCAAGATCAACAGAAATGAAGTGATAAGAGTATTTGATTGTTGAGAGAATAATAGAAGCTATAGGGAGCAGGCAATCCCAATTTGATAAGGGCCACTCCATGCTTAATAAACTCGAGAGTGCATGCTTATTGGAGAGTTTTATAACTGAAGATTATAGATATGTCAAGATGCATGACTTGATCAGGGATATGGCCCTGCAAATTATGATTCAAGAGCCATGGTTGAAGCTGGTGTTCAATTAACAGAATTCCCAGATGAGGAGAAATGGACCGAGGACCTTGACAGTGTAATTAATGGAAATTGACATCAAGGAAATTCCGTCTAACCTTTCACCAAGGTGTCCCAAACTTGCAACCTTATTGTTATGTGGAAACTACAAACTGGAATTAATTACGGATTCTTTTCTCGAACAATTGTGTGGGCTCAAGGTTCTTGACCTCTGTTTTACTGCTATACATGAATTACCAGGTTCCATCTCTGGTATTGCGTGTCTCACTGCATCGTTGCTGATGGACTGTTACAAGATGAGACATGTACCATCATTAGCGAAGCTCAAGACATTGAAGATGTTGGATTTCTGTTATGCTACACTTGAAGAGATGCCTCATGGGCTAGAATTGCTGTGCAATCTGAGGTATCTTAATCTTGACAGAACTAGACTCAAGGAATTTCCTGCCATTGTGTTATCTAATCTCTCCAATTTACAATTTCTCTGCCCGCACCAGTCTTTGGGAGGTTCCAGATCAGTTGAAGTGGAGGAAGTAGCAGGCTTGAGGAAGCTGGAATCTTCGAAATGCCATTTCTACGATGTCATTGATTTCAACTAGTGTCTCCAAAAATGTGTAGAACAGAGGCAACTATCAGGTACGTTCATGTTAGGACAACTAGGTGGCCATGTCATAACATATTTTATACTTTCTACAATTTCAAAGAAACATGCAAGTAAAGAGGTTCAGTTATATAACTGCAATATTGGGCTGAGAGGAGATTTTCTAGCACTTCCTGAGGCATACAAAAACTGTTGGTTGCTAAATGCCATGATGCCAGAAACATATGCAATGTACAAGCAACTGGACTGAAGTCTTTAGTAATTTGTGAGTGTGATGGTATAGACTGCTTGCTCTCGTTATTCAAAATTTCCACCGATATACTTGAAAGACTTGAAACTCTTCATGTTTACTGGTTGAAGAACTTACTTGTCCTCTTTGGCAGAGAAGGAGCTTCTTTACAACCATTGCCATCTAATGGCACCCTTCTCCTGTCTTGGAACAATTGATGTGATTATTCATGTCCAATTAAAAAATGCTGTTTACTTCTGGCTTGTTACCGAGCCTCAGAAACCTGGAAGTGATTGAAGTTGAATTTTGTGACAAAATGGAGGAGAAAATAGCAGCCGAAGGAGACAACGGCAGCTGTCATTCCATTGAATGCAGTCTGCCGAAGTTGCGGCTATTGAAATTGAGAAATTTATCATAGCTAAAAAACATTTGCAGTTGGGTGATGATTTGCTCTCCAAGAACTTGAAGTTTTTTGCTCCATGAAGCTAGAGAGGATACCGCTCTCTTTAGCCCAGCTTGAAAATGGCCTTCCATCTATTGGAAGAATCCAGGTGCATCCAAAAGAATGGTGGGAATCTGTGGAGTGGGACCAGCCAAATGATAAGAATAACCTTTCACCCCTCCATATAATCTTGATGTGCGATATGCTATCATGCAATTCCCAAGTAGTAAACCAGAAGATAATGGCATTCACTCTCATCAGCATCAATTCATTTTCTCTAGAGATTCCTTTAGTCCGTGTTTTTCCCCTTATGATCTCTGTAATTACCTTTTTTCTATCGAATTATTATTTCCTATAATTGGATGATTTGGGGAAAACGTATATTTGTGCTTAATTTTTGAAGTCATGAATTCTTCCACTGAACTCATTAAGGCTATTGGGATTGTAATAGTAACGTTGCTATATCATGTACGTTGCCAATACCATGAATTGAACGTCTACATTTCTCATTCTTGCTCAATTTTACATCCACATGTACTTGCTATTGCTCGGTTCTGCCCTCCTTTCTACTGCTCTTTTGGGTTCAGGCTGGGTTTTAAAATTTTTCAATGTACTTGTGTTTAATGAACAATATCTGTAATAAATCAACATATTTGTAGTGTGTATATAAAAATAGAACTTACAACACAATGATTACTGTTGTCGATGATTATAACTTGAAAGGAAGAATCACGGATCCTTTTCTTTCCAGGTTACTAAATGCAGAGTTAGGAAGTTCGGCTGCATAACTGCAATATCAGTAAAAGATTAGATCTTCTAAGCTGTAGCTCAACCGGATATCTCATTGTAATAATAATAAAAAAAAGAGATCTCCCACTGAAGACAGAGGTACCGTAGCCTAACAGATTGACTAATAAAAAGGTGATTGTTTGGCTTTCCTTGATGGACAAGCATAAAAAATCTCTAACCTCTGATTTTGTGCGAGCAAAGGTCTTTGAAACAAGTATTGATGTGACTTTCCATCTTATGATGTGATATGAGCATTTGCTCCACAGTCGGCACACCAAACTTGATTTTTGTAAAAGGACTTAGACTCAACCACCGTTGGTGGAAGCTCAGCTAGGATGTTTGCCTTGGTATAGGAAATCAAATTGGTGGTAATAGTCAAGAGCTGTATGAACTGTTCTTTCACATATTTGTGTGCTTTGAGAAGAGTGTTGGCTCATGTGGTTTATTCCACACATAATTTGATATTGTTTGGTAATAAAATGAAATTAATGTTTAGCTTGTGCATCCACGTTAAAATCGTTAAAATTAAGGTATAGCTGTAAAATTGAAGTATGACCGCCATTAATTAAAAAACATCTTTTACTAGCTTTCCACATAAAAAGCTAGTCAAGAAATTATAGATGCTTAATATAGTTATAAATATTAGACAAAACTATCCTCCTTGACATTGACATTGTAATTCATTTCTTCATTTCTTCATAGCTTCTTCTTTATTTTCGTTATAATCTCTAGATCTCTAAGCCATCACTCTTTTTAGAGATGTATTTTGCCTCCATTGCAAATCTATAAACCCAACTATTATGGGTAGTAAAAACTCGTTTAATCTGGTTTTGATTACCGTCTCACACCTATCTTGAGTTTTGCTACAAATCTAGTAATTTTATTTTAATTCATTCATTTCTTGTCAATTTTTTTACTAGGTTTTTAAATATTTTGCTATTAATATGGTTACATGTTTTATTTGAGTGGGTATGAATAATAGACCGTATTTTTCAAATCTTCTATGTTTTTTTCTTTTTCTTGTTTTGCATTTGAATTGTTAAAGATTAATACCCAAATAATGTCTATTTCATAATCATGAACTTGTTAAATTAAAACTAGAATGCCTATCATCTAAAGTTCTTTTGTTCTAACCCTGTGTTTGTTGTGTAACATGATTGTACAATCACTATGAAGATTTATTTGCATGTTTCAAATCCCTTACAAAGTAATTAAACTAATTACAAACTAGTATTTATTCGATGTTTGTTTCTGTGCATTTGCATTACAATTACATCTCATGTTTATACACTTCATTCACACTGTATTACTTGAGTGATATTTGTGAAATCACAAAGATGATTTTTAAATTGTCTTAAAAATGAAAAAATAACAAATTTATTTTAATTTTTCATAGATCTTTCTATCTAAAATCAATTCTTAAATTCAGCTTAAATTGTTTTAAAATGTCTACTTCATCAACATTACTTTGGTTAATTAATTCTCAATAATCAAGAGTGTTAACACTACTAAACCACAATAAATATTGTTTGCTAGTTATTATAACAATTGCTTCATACACTACTTCATACAGATTAATACATACATATGGACTGAAGCTTAATAGTCGAAACTTAAGAGGGAAAAGTTAGCTGGGAAAGCTCAGCTATTATTATTATGTTTATTATGGTTCTATCATTATTTCTTTTTAGTTATGAAGTTTTGAGTCTTTTGACTTTAAGTTAATTTATCTACCATGTTAATCATTGTCATTAGTATATATCTATTGCATAAATAAACACAATAGAACACAATAGGGATATATATTTGAATCAACTGCATTGATGATAACATTATCACATTTTTTAATATCAATTTTGTAAGAATTCCTGTGTATATAACATCTTTAATAATTATTGCAAAGTTTAAATACTCATGTGTTCTTTTGTGGTTGATGAATTAGGCTAGAAAAAATAAATTAATGGAAAGTGCTGAAAGCTTAGATA